GGGAAGGCTTAACCCATTTATAAACATAGCAGTTTCTCTGAAACTGCTATGTTTATAAAAAAATGGGTTAACCCTAGAAGGACCTGGCACCCAGAGCACTTCATTAAGCTGAAGTGGTCTGGGTGCCTAGAGTGGTCCTTTAAGGTTCAATTTCAGGGTTAGTTTATTACACAGCGTAAGAAGATTTAAAATTTGAGAGGGATTATAGTTGAGGTGTCAGGGGTGTTTAGAACTATTATGTTTAGGGTTAGAGTTGGTTAAATTTAATATTGGGGTAAATGGTATATTTTATTTTCAAGAGGAGTTAAAGCGTTTTGTTTCAGGTTTTGGAAGGGGTTAAATTTAGAGCTATGGAAAAGAGCTGAGTGTAGGCATTTGGAGTTTGAAGGGTTATTTAAGTACTCATCCTCTTATGATTGACAGAACTGTAAGAGCTATTGTACGGTGTTAATAATTCATTGCTGCACTTCTCATACTGCAACGCACTTCCTGTATAAAATAAAAACAGAAATACTCAGTAACACAAATAAATAATTGTGTACATAACACAAGGGGACTGGGCAATATGCAGAGTAGGCAATCTTCAAAACTTCTGGTGTTGTGGACTAAATCTCCCATATTGCTCTAACAGTCAAAATGCTGACAAAGCAGCAGGGGAGATGTAGTCCAAAACATCTGGAATGCTGAAGGTTGCCTACCACTGATAAGCTGAAGTGCGCATGGTCGTTTCAGTTGTGCTTTCTTAAAAAATAAGCTAATGTCATGTATCCCATCTGTTTTTAAAAGACTCATTCTCATTTCCTTTATTAGAGCAACATTTGTCAGCATATATAAAACATTGTATAAGAGGCTCTACCATTCATCAGTGTACTATTATCTGCAATAATAAACAAAAACATAATTGTTTGGTAATCTAATTAAAGTGACAAGATGCCATGAATATTTTCTATTTACATGAGCTGTAATGAGTTAATCATTTGTCTATAAGAAGTTCCATAAAGTTTAATTTCAGCACGGAATGTTTCCAGACAGTTTTGTAATTTAGTATGTGATGAGATGTATTAGAATGCAATTAAGGTTGCATAATTGTTCTACTTCAGATGAGTTGCTTTGCAATGCAAGAAACATTATGACCAGCTAGTGTAGCAATTCCATCTATTATTGTAACAGACACTATAGCAACAATGATAGAATACAATGTTCACACTCCTTACCTACTTCCCTTAAATACCACAATTAAGTCATGAGATCTTTGGTTAGGATAATTACTCATAGTGTAAAAACAAAACAACTCCACATTACATAGTACTTCTCTCCAAAGCTAATAAATATTTGTAAAAAATGAAATAAAATAAAAAATCAGTCCTAAAAATCAATGGTTTTGGTCAGATCTGTGGTTCTAATTTGCTCATAATTGTCTTTAAGATGTATTTGCTCTTTGCTTACCCCACCTCATTTCAACATAGCTTGTTTAAGTTTGGAATATTCTTGCAATCAAGATGGGGTTTTGGCACCTGGTACTTCTGCCTCCCATATTTTAGATTTCTTTTAGAAATGTAGAAAAAGATTTAAATTTGAAGGTACTTTGTGTCTGCGGAGGTAGAAGGGATAGTAACACCACAAGACTGGGCTTGGCAGAGTGAAACTACTACAATAAATGTAATTGCAAAACATTACAACTAGTGATGTCCCGAACGGTTCGCCGAACGGTTCGCCACGGACGGCGAACATAAACATTAACTTTGACCCTGTACCTCACAGTCAGCAGACACATTCCAGCCAATCAGTAGCAGACCCTCCCACTTCCTGGACAGCTCACTAAGAATGCAGCTTCACAATGAATGTAAAATGGATGCTGTCCAGGAGGTGGGAGGGTCTGGGAGGGAGGGTCTGCTGCTGATTGGCTGGAATGTGTCTGCTGACTGTGAGGTACAGGGTTAAAGTTTATGTTTATGTTAGCCGTCCGCGGCGAACCGTTCGGCGAACCGTTCGGGACATCACTAATTACAACCATTACCAACGCTAATAATTTTCTTTTAGAAATTTAGAAAAAGATTTAAATTTGAAGGCACTTTGTGTCTGTGGAGGTAGAAGCTGTAGCCACATCACAAAACTCAGCTTGGCTGAGTAAAACCACTACAATCAATGTAGTTGCAAAACATTGCAACCATTACCAGCACTGCCTCTAATTTATTTATTTATTTTATTTATTTATTTTTGTTAATTTTTTTAAATGTTTTTTTTGCAAAAGCCTTATCTTGACAAACATTTTACAGATAATAATGTTTATACAAAATCCCAATGTAAAACACAGTACATATACAATGGGAGTCTGGGTCAAAGGTGGGAGTAACAATTAGAGTTAAAATATATAGAAGGAAGTGTGAGACATTCACAGAGTCTGAAAAGTTTTCTTTACAGTATTATACTTGTGTGTTCAGTCTCATAAAACCCAACTTAACCCAGTTCAGTCTAGTGATTTGAAACATACTCCATTCATCCCAAACAGGCACCGGGCAATGTATAGCGTAGCGGAAAGCAACAAACAGTCACAGAGTCCATTACATGTTAGGCCAGGGGGCCCTTCTCTCTTTATAGAGGTCAGTAAGGAGTCTGAGTAATATTGTACATCGAGTCTTAACTGGAGGGGGGCATTCTATATAGGTAAATTGGTTTAAGTAAACATAAATTATGTAGTGAAGATATGTATACATTCTAAGAGCTACCAAATGTGCCCAACTCACAACTTCACTCTCCAAGCAGAGCAGTCAAACAGGATCTGGCTGGTCGATAAGTACCCTTGGCTAACTAACGCGAAGACCATTGAATTTAAACCAAGGTTCCCATATCTCTTTATAGACAATGTGTCCGAGTGAAAAGCAACCTCCGTTATGTGCTGGAAATTAAAGTGGGAACATACTTCTAACCCAGGGTTGTCAAACATGCGGCCCCCCAGATGTTGCTGAACTACAACTCCCATGATTCCCTGGCTATCTGTTTCATTGAAAGAATTATGGGAGTTGTAGTTCAGCAACATCTGGGGGGCCGCATGTTTGACAACCCTGTTCTAACCAGTTCAGAGGACCTATGTTTCTCCAGTTTCTGGCGATTATTAATTTTGTTGACACAAATACGTGTACCAATAGATTTTTGACAATTATGTTGCTGGGAGGAAAGCCCATATGAAACAGAAGCATATGTGCTGTTAACACGATTTTCCTCTTAAAGATAAAATTTACAAGTCTGGACAGGATCTCTTTTAAGGCATCAAGCTCTTCACATTGCCACTTGATGTGGGGAAAGAGAGCCTAGTGCCTTACCACAACCCCAGCAATCTGGGGAAACATAGAGGTCAATTTGAGCTAATCATGTATGAACCAGATGCCAGTGGTAAAGGAGTTTATAGTAAACCTCCTGTATGTTTACTGAATGGATATGGCAACCCTTCATCCAGAGAACAAGAAAATTTGAGTTCCTGTTCCCATTTCATCATAGCTGGGACTTTCTCCTTAGACCGCTGGTTGAACATAAACCTAGATAACCTGGAGGTTAGTTTGTTACTAAAATGCTGGTCCAGGAAGCTTCTGTTTCCTGTAACCGGCCGGACTGACAGGAAGTGCACACTCCTTCCTATCAGTCTGGCCGGCACCGTGGACCAGCAAGCAGCTCGGCCACGCTACAGGGAGGCAAGGAGAGGTGGAGAAGTAAGTGAATAGGGGAGGGTAGAAGTGAATGGGGAGGGAAGTAAGTGAAGGGGAGGAGGCGGATATGGGAGGAGTAAGCAGAGTAAGTGAAGGGGGAAAAGTAAGTGAATAGGGGAGGGGGAGTAAGCGGAGGGAGTAAGTGGAGGGAGTAAGGAGATCGGGGAGAGTAGAGGGGAGTAAGTAGAAGAGGGAAGAGCAAGTAATAGGGGAGGGAGTAGGAAGTGGAGGGTGTAAGTGAAAGGGAGGGAGGTGTAAGTGAAGGGGGGAGTAAGGTGAGAGAGGGGTGTAAAAGGTGAGAAGGGAGGAAGTAAGTGAATGGGAGCCGGGAGAGTAGAAGTGAATGGGAGGGAGTAAGTGGGGAGGAGAGAGTAGAAGGGAGGGAGTAGGTAGAAGGAGGGGAGTAAGGGAGGAGGGAGGGAGTAGAGAAGAAAGGAAGAAGCAAGTAGAAGGAGGAAGTAGGGAGGGAGGAAGTAGAAGTAGAAGGGGAAGTAAAGTGAAGGAGGGAGCAAGTAGGAGGGAAGTAAAAGTGAGCAGGGAGGGAGGAAGAAGTGAAAAGGAGGGAGTAAAAGACAGGGGCAGTAAGGAGAGTAAGTGGATAGGAGGGAGTAAGTGAAAGGGGAGTAAGTGAAGGGGGGGGAGTAAGTGAAGGAGGGGGGAGTAAGGGGAGGTGTGAGGGAGTAAGTGAAGGGGGGAAGTAAGTGAAGGAGGGAGTAGAGAGTGAAAGGAGAGTAAGTGAAGATGGGGGTGTAAGTGAAGGAAAGGGATGAAAATGCATTGAAGGAAGGGAGTATTAAGTGAAAGGAGGGAAGTAGGAGTAAGTGAAGGAGGGGGGAGTAAGTGAAGATGGGGGGAGTAAGTGAAAGGGGGAGTAAGTGAAGGAGGGGGGAGTAACAGAAGGAGGAGGAGGGGGAGTAAGAAGAAGAAGGGTATGAAAAACGGGGGGTAAGAAGAACAAGGGGGGAGTAAGAAGAACACAGGGAGGGTGGGTGGTGAGGGGAACACAGGGAGGGGGAGGTGAGGAGGACACAGGGAGGAGAGGACACTACGCGCACACACACACACACACACAATGCATCCCTACACACACTGAAACACAACATGCTTCCCTTACACACAGAGAAACACACAATGCATCCATTACACACACACAATGCAACACTTACACACAAAGACAATGCATCCTTTGCACACATACACAGAAACACATAATGCAAACACTTACACACACACTGCTTTTCTTACACAGAAACACAATGCATCACTAACACACACTCAATGCACACACTTACAGACACACACCTTGCATCCCTTATGCATACAAACACAGATTCACACAATGCATCCCTTACACACAACCAGAAACACACAATACATCCCTTATACACTAATACACACTGCTTCCACTACACACAAACACACTGCATCACCTGCACAAACTGGTATCCATATACACTACATACCATAAGCACACATATTAGATCCTCTACAATAACACATCCCCTACACACTCCACTCCCTGTGAGCGAACTCATGGGTGGGTGGAACATATAAGTGGACTTGTAAGTGGGCCTTGTGGGCATACAGACCTTGAACTGTGTAAGGGGCCACCCAAAAAATGGAGCTGCTTCCATTTCTCCCAGAACATTGAATTTTGTGACCACAGTTGCAAACAGCCTCCAGAGATCCTGTTCTATACCAGACCAGTGGAGCCAAACTGCAGCCCATCATCATCCTCTATACACTATAGACCCCAGAACGACTGGAGCTTAATTAAGTGGTTCTGGTGTCTATAGCCGGTCCCTGCAGGATTTTTAATGTAAACACACACTGTGGGCAGCACTGGCGTTAGTTCGTGTGGCAGCTCATATAGGTGGGGCATTGTGATGTCACATGGGGGGTGGCAAATATAGCTGTTCCCCATGCAGCCACAGGTGCCACTGTGCTGGGAGATTGTGATTACTCTTCACTTCCTCCCAGCTTACAGAGCAGCGCATGGAAGAGAGAGAGGAGGAGGCATGATTTAATCTTACAACAAATCCAGTAAGCAAATCTTTATAAATTTGGGTGGGATCAGCTCTGTTTCCACAGTTTATTGGTGTTTACTCTGATGTCTGTATTAATATTGAGGGATTTCTAAGTAGTAACATCAGTGTGTGTCAGCAGGGTGCCATCACAACAGAGGCGCCCGGCGGACAACACAGCTCACAAGTTGGGGACACCAGCCTATTCAATTTAAATGATTCGCTGGTGGTCCAGTGGTGCGCACCAGCAGTAGATGCAGTCAGATTATAGCCTCTCCCTCGTGGTTCTGGCGCTCAGTTAGTGAGTCAGAGCACAGGCTCAGAGATTCTCAGCCTGTGCTCTGACAACATTGAAAGTCAGAACCGTGAAGGAGCGGGTATGGCAAAGAGCTACTGATTAGCATAACATCAATATCCATTGTAAAACCAGGAAAAGGTGAGCACCATTGCACTGATTTGGTGGTACAATGGGCCACTTGACTGGTTTTGCCCCCCAGGCCTAAGGCTGCCAGCCCTCCCCTGGTTGAATGTTCTGCCAAAACTGTTTCTGAAAAACATCTAGGAGTCTACCATCAGCGGGATTTTCTTAAATGGATATAAAAGTCTCGGCAGTAAATAGAAATTGATTATCTCAATTCTACCTAGCCATGATATCTCAATTCCTTTCGAAGCCAAATTTTTGTTTTTAAATTGTGTGGCCTTTGCCGAGTAGTTAAGCCTGTTTATTTCTGAGAGATCCAGAGATAATCTTACACCCAGATAGTTTATACTCCTGGCCTCCCAATCTATCTTAAAATTATCCTTGAAAGAATGCATCCTAGGTCCGCCCAGACCTTTAATCAGGATTTGTGTCTTTTTAATATTTACTTTATATCCTGAGATTTTACCAAACTCCTCGACCAAATGAAACACTTCTGGTAATTAACCGATAGGATCCTTAAGGGACAAGAGCACATCAGCATAAAGTGTGATCTTGATCTCATATGTATTAACAGTTATACCTTTGATTTGTGCTTTCTGTCTAATAGCTTCTGCAAGTGGTTCAATAGAAAAAACGTAGAGTAGTGGGGCTAATGGGCAGTCCTGCCGAGTCCTGTTCCGAATTGGGAATCAGTCAGATTGAAACATAAACCCTGACACTTTAGCTTGCGGGTCCCCATATAGAGCCATTGTGTGATCTTTAAAGGTGCCCCCAATGCCAAAGAATAGAGGGGGCAATGGAATTCAGATTATACATTTTCTTGTAATATTCTCCGAATGCTTTGCCTATTTGTGTTGGAGATAGAAATTTAGTATTTCCTAACACTATTTTCTTAATAGTTTGAAGTTTATTCCTGTTCTTTAATTTATTAGTAAGAATTCTACCTGATTTATTATTTCTATGGTACCAACCTTGTTTAAGAGCTGATATTGCTTTATTTATTTTCTTGTGTTCTAATCTTCTGTCTAATAACCTTGATTTCCCTCAAAATCCCTGGATCTAAACAGATCGTATGAGACCTCTCAAGCTTTACCAACTCAATATATAGAGCATTCGCATCTTTCTTTTTTTGTTTTTTAGTATAGGTGCCCAAGTTTACAAGCCATCCTCTCATGTAGGATTTAAAGGTACACCAGAGGGTGGAGTCGCGAACCTGGTGATTATCGTTTAATTAAAGAAATTCTCTGGCCTGGGAACGCATGTTCTCAGTGTTGGTTTATGACCTAAGAAGAGTCTCATTTAATCTCCTGTTGTTTCTATTTTTATATTCAGAGTTATTTTTTATTTTTGGAAAAGTTGGGGCATCGTCTGACCATGGTATAGGTCCGATTCCAACATTGATAATCTGTTCCAAAATGTCAGCCCTATTCAGAAAATAATTGATAAAGCCATCCATAAATCATATCTCATAAGGTATATAGTCTATTAGTACCATAAAAACATAAGTATACTATTGGTTCTATAACCACTACATGGAAAATTGATAATGAGATCTAAAAAGATATAAGAGCAAAACTAATATAGATACCAATCAAAGTTCACCTCTTTTTACAGAGGAATGTGTGTAACAAGGTGCTTTACAAAGTGCAGGTGATTTTTTGGGCAGCTCTATACACATGTGTGGAAATATCCTCTATCCCACTTAACAAAATAATAGATTTAAGTGCGGTGTAAGTAACAAAGACCTACACCTATAAGTGGAGTGCTCAAACACATATATAGCTTACCATACGTTATTTCGTATCATGGTACATGTAAAAGAATACAATATAGTGCAGATGGTATATATAAAGTGACAATGCAATAATAGTGATGGAATCTTAATGGCTGGTGCACTCACATTCCAAGGAGCCTGTATATGGAAACACTGGCTCCGTATCAAAGCTTGTGTGCTTATAATGGTAGCACCACCCTTCTACTTCGGTATGGAGTAATTCTCAAAGACAAAAAACAGAGGGAGAGCAAACCAATGTGTAGATTATGTTCATAAAAGCACACATATATATAAATAAATGTGGTGCTCACCTGGTCCTGAGCATATGGGTCCTGGCTCTAGGTATATAAACTCTGTGCCAATTTGGATGGGGATGGCACTACCCCTATGAAGATTCTTTTGGAGGCTCCAAAAAAGGACTTAAAAAGGTATAAAAATAAAATAACAAATGTATTCATATATCATATGTATAAAAGAATATCTCACTTTCCATATACAGGCTCCTTGGAATGTGAGTGCATCAGCCATTAAGATTCCATCACTATTATTGCATTGTCAATTTATATATACCATCTGCACTATATTGTATTCTTTTGTATTCTTTTACATGTACCATGATACGAAATAACATTTGGTAAGCTATATATGTGTTTGAGCGCTCCACTTATAGGTGTAGGACTTTGTTACTTACACTGCACTTAAATCTAAAACTAATATAGAGCCTAAAGGTGTTGACATCATATAGTATCATGTGTTGGCCTGTAAAGGACCACTAGGTGCCTTAGCTCAGGGGTATGGAAGAGGATAGGAGAAACATAGGGTGAGGGCTCAGAAACATTAATCTACTAATGTAGGGTCTGTTTCTGAGCCCTCACCCTATGTTTCCCTATCCTCTTCCATACCCATACCCAGTGGTTCTATACATGCCAACAGACGATACTATATGATGTCAACACCTTTAGGCTCTATATTAGTTTTGCTCTTATATCTTTTTAGATCTCTTTATTGACAAACACATCTACACTCTTACTGACAAACACACATACTCTTTGACAAACACATATACACTCTCACTGACAAGCACACATACACACTCTCTGACAAGCACGCATACACTCTCACTAATAAAAATACATACACACTCACTGACAAGCACACATATACACTCACTGACAAACACACATACACTCACTGACAAACACACATACACTCTCACTGACAAACACACATACACACTCACTGACAAACACACATACACTCTCACGGAGAAGCACACATACACTCTCACTGACAAAGACACATACAAACACACACACACACACGCACACACACACACACACACACAATTGATTTATTTTTTAAAAATTTCACTCCACCCATTCCTACCTTTCTCTATTTCCCTAAGGTCCAGTGGGGATGAGCAGAGCAGCTGGCGTGCAGGCGGTGAGGGTGCTCCGATACTCCTGCTCAGCTCCCTTGCCTGTTAGTGATGCCGGGGCTGGAGTGAAGTCATATTCCTGCTCCGGCATCACTGCGGTGTGCGCGAGGGAGCTGAGCAGAGTTCTCCCTCACCGCTCACCTCAATTATCAGTGCTTGCTAGCCTGTACAGTTTTTGCCCCCTAGGACAAGAACTGCCAGGGCGCTTAGGGGGCTTTTTTTTTGCCGCCCCCCTGAAAGTACTGCCCAAGGCAAATGCCTTGTCAACCTCGAAGTAGATACAGCGCTGTCTGTGTGTCTGTATCTGTATGTGTGTCAATTTGTGTATCTATGTATCTGTATGTGTGTCAGTGTGTGTATATGTTTGTCTGTGTATCTGCATGTGTGTCTGTGTGTGTATCTGTGTATGTATGTGTATCACAGTGTATGTGTATATGTGCACACATCTCTGCATTCATACTTCAACAATACACACAAATACAACCCTGCATTCAAAAGTTAACACTAAATACACATATAAAATTATATATTAAAAAACAACACTACACATAAAAGCATGCTTGCATTCAAACGCTACTTACACTACACTACATGCAAAAACACCCCTACATTCACATAAACATACTCCATACAAAAACATGCTTGTATTAAAATACACAAACACTGCTCAGTGCTACATACAACCCTGCAAGCATGGGAAAATGATGTGGGAGTTGTTCAACAATTGGTGATCTACCTTTTGGCCAACCTTATGATGGGGGAGCAAACACATTTTTGCACCAGGGCCCTCTCTACGTTAGTCCCGACACTGCTCTATCCAATGGGGCTTCTGAAACAATGGGTGTGGTGTGGCCATAGTTCCCCTTCTGGGCATTGGGTTGGGACATTAAAATTGATTAAATGGATGTATTTTATTGTGTCTTGTTCTTTGTAAATCTGTGTTTTTTTTCTCATTATTTGCATTGGGAATTATGGATTTTAATTTGGCCTTTTTGGGGGCTAAATATAAGAAGAAATAAAAGATAGAAGACTTTCGGTGTAAATTGTCAAACCATTTTAGAATGCTCTGACAACTTACCTGGGTGGTTCCAAAACCTAGCATTATGATTAGCTCAAGGGAGACATACGGTTTCTCCAGCAGGAGAAGTTAGATGTGGTACAGGATTATGGTGTTTGGAGTATTCTTTCACTGCTGATTCAATTAGATGCAGAAAATGTAGCAGGACCTAAAATCCAAAAATATTCATAGAAATAATTATTGAGTGGAGTGATCCTGCTCATTTGGCACTTCTTACATAAGATAATAATTGGAACCAAGACAATATTTGGCAAGCATATCAACGTGACTGTATACCGATTTAACCCTACATTTAAACTGACTTAGGATGAGTTTACAAGTGATACAATTGGTTTTGTGGCAATCCTCTTAGGAGATATAATAACATGCCTGGGGTATTAACCAGGATTATTATGTTTGAGCTGAACACCTTCATGCACATGAACTGAAATGCTTTTACACGTTTTAAAAGGAGTTCCACAATTAACTGTAAATGCCACTCAGCCCAATGTTTTATGTTTAATTACGCAGCCCGCCTTGATACAAATGTAGGAAAATAACTTTAATTTACAAAGATCTATTTAATGTGACACCTCACATGGCAGTGTCCAGAATCACAGCATTGTAATATCATATTACATGTAATATTAATGTGAGTAATAATTTACTCCTAGAAATATCTTGCACCAGCATAAGTAATGGTTAGATGTTAATCCACCTCAACCCAGTGGGTTATTATAAAATCAGGTTTCATAATAAGAACCTTAGGATTCAGAATGTTTCCCCTTACATGCCTTGTCTCCAGAACACTTTTCAAAATTTCTTTTTCTTTATTTTTGTTTCAGTATTCCAAGGTTTCTCAACATCTCAATTCCAGTTTCTTACGTTGTGAAAAGAAAGGAAGACGTTGATATGGAATATAGGTGTAACAAACCCCTTGTACTTCGTATAGTACGTTCGTTCGCACACTCCCGAACTGCTAGAGGCTTGAGTGATTATAGCCCATTCGCATAGTACGCTAGTTTATACTCTCCCAAAATCCCAATAGATCATGGTTAAAATCAACCGCTTCTTCGTTCACATACCCAAACATCAGTAGAGCCTTGATGAAGGTTACAACAGTAATGTTTTATTATGGCCAGTTGGCCAACTTTTATACACAGACCCCCAGCATGGGGTCTCCAGCAAAAACATAGTAAAACACGCCCAGGAGTCTCTGTGTCTGTGAGATAATTGAGTGTACTTTGCTTAAACTAAATATCTCCCAGGCACTAGAGGTACGGAAAATAAAACATAAAATACCCCAAAATACATATAACACACAAATAGGAACCCCCAAAAGTCTTATATCCCCAGATAGCCTGGATCTATGCACCCAACATATCCAAATAGCGCTCAGATCCCAAGAATACAGCCAAATCGCCTCCGGAGTAACGTTTTGACCAACCACACACGTGGCGTTTGCACAAAATAGTTCCAGAGAAAAGTGGTAGCGGTCGGTCACTTTGGGGAGTTCCAAAATGAAAAAAAAGACAAACGGTTCCCCTGGCTCATAGGTAACGATCGTTCACCTGGTTCGTGCGAACAATCCTACCGAACAGCGTTTTCCTGGCTTGTCTCCAAATGAAGGAGGCGTTCATACAAAAATTATTGTTGTTTGCAGGGTTGAGTGTCTGACTTAGAGTTCCAGACACTCAACAACCTGGTTCTACTGCCTGCTTTCAGGAGACAAGATGGCCACCATTTTCCAGCGCACGTGTTGTTTGGTTATACAGCGAGAGCACTTAAATTTGTGGTTTCTTTGAAGTTAAATGAGCCAGGGGGTGGTCGGTGTTCAGTAGAACAATCTACCGAATGCAGGGAAAATAACTGGGACATGGAAATACTTGGTTTTGTCAGAATAGGCAACAGGGTAAACTTTAAATACAAACAAAGCATATGAAGTATGTGTAGTTGCATCAACTTTATAGGAAGCCAGACTTTTTTTCGCTTTCCATTTTCTCATTCTTTCTTTTCTTTCCTCTTTTTCTGTCATATAAACCTTTATAAATAGACAGTCGTGAATTGCGTTCGTACGTCTTAAGGTGAAGATATTATGGTAAGTGTCTGGGTTGACAACATGTTATTTCTTTGAGCGTTCCTTGGTTTGTGTTGTTTACAGAAGCAGAAATGTAATAACCAGGCTTGGTTACAGGGTGGTCGTTAGTGCCTAGTGATAGAGTCTATGTGATTAGCAAATGGGATGTCAGTGACTTTTTGTATATTTGTAGTGGTAGTGAGCTTTGATGTAAGAGCATGGTCAGAGGTTGAAATGATAGGGTGGTGTCTATAATGCTTTGGATTTTGGTGTGTATCTTGCAAAAAGGAACAATCGTGGGACATGACCACCAGATGTGGAGTCTGGTACCCTCTCTCGTCCCGCAGTGCTAGCATTTTTTTAGGTATTTCTACGTGCATGCGGTGCTGGGCACCTGGAGTCCTATACCAGTGCGTCAACAGTTTGTAGCTCAGCTCATGGAACTTTGAGCTGATGGAGCCCTTGTGTGTGTTGGTGAACATGTTGTCCCATTCTTGTACCATGAGTGTAGTTCCCGTTTCCCTTTCCCATTTACTCATGAATCCGAGAGATACCTGCACTTAACTGCAGCATTGTGTATAAAGTAGATATACCCGACGTGATGTGTCTTCATGCAATGCATAGCTGTTCAAAGTGGATCAAGGTTCTGTGAATCGGTTCCCTGCCCTGAATGCATGCATAGTAGGTTTTGATTTGGTGGTAATGGAACAGGTCTAGGGGGTGGACTGTCTTTCAGTGAAAGCTGCTGATATGGGCTTAAGTTGAGTGGTTGTGCACCACTGGTTCATGTATATCCAGTCGGTCGCTTTTAATCTGGCTCGTACTCAGGCCCCCGGCCAGGTCCAGGATTTTTGGGTTGGGGGTAAGCGGGTTAGGTGAGGTTGTCAGTTGTCTTTGGTAATGGAGGATGCACCATACTCTAATTGTAGGGTCTATCATTGGGGTATTGGTACACAAGGTGCCGGCCGATTGGCTGCCCAGCCATAGCATGGAGGGGATTTTACCTTCAGCTTGTCGGCTCTCCATGTACACCCATTGCTTCTCAGAGGGGTGGGTCTGCCAATCTACAAATCTGTGCAGGTGTGTAGCCTAGTGGTAAGTCACTATGGAAGGTAATTCCACACCGCCAGCCTGTATAGGCTGCTCCAAAAGTATCTTTCGGATTCGCTGATGTAATGGAGCTAAAAAAAGTTCTTGGGATTGTAATAGATATGGTCTGAAACAGGTATAATATGTGTGGCATGACGTTCATCTTGACCTATTAATGCAACCAAGCCAGGAGATATATTGGGGCTACCAGAGTTTCATGTCTGTTTGTAGTGTGGTAAGTAAGGAGAGAAAGTTAAGTTGATACAGTTGAGAAAGACCTCTCGGTAACCAAATGCCTAAGTATCTATGTTTACCTTTGCACCATGCGAGGGGGAAGTGCGAGCGGAGACAGGTCGAGGAGTCGGGGTTGAGTGTGAGATGGAGTGCCTCCAATTTGTCCATATTAAGTTTCAGGTTAGAAATCAATCCGAACCACTTAAAGGCTACCATGGGATTGGGTAGGGAAATCGGTGGCTGTTCAAGAAAAAAGAGGATATCGTCTGCGTAGTCAGCGACACGGCGTTCCGTTGTCCCAAAGTGAACCCTGTAATATCCTTGCCCCACCTGACTGTCTTTAGGAACTGCTCTAGAGAGAGGGCAAAAAGGAGGGGAACAGAGGACAATCCTGGCTCGTACTTTTCCGGATGGGAAAAGGGGCGTGAGCGCGCCGTTAATGCGGTTTTGGGCCGCAGAGGTGGTATAGAGGGATTGTATCCATGAGAGGATATGCATGTGTTGGAAAGTGGAAGTAAGGTAGAGCCAATCTACCGGGTTAAAAGCTTTTTCCGCGTCGGTGGAAAGAAGTATCTCTTCTCTACTGGTTGCTTTTCAAAGGTTTTGTACTTGTACTTTCTCGGTGAGGGATTGTTTTATGGCATGCTTCTTTGTGCCCAGTTTTCCTTCATTCTAATGTGTTATTATGAAGATTGCTTTAGGGGAATCCCTCCACATTTTTACACTCAAAAAAACATAGTGTTCTAGACTAATAATATAAATATGTTAGAGATTGCTATTACCATCTTGAATTACCATGTACAAGTGTTTGGAATATTTTAGGGGGATATTTTAGGAATTAGAGCCCCTAATACAGGGTTAGGGAATCTATGACATTGCAGAACTTCAAATCTTATGATCCACAGGCTGGCATTTGGATGCCTTGGTGTCATTTGAGCTGTAGTAAACTATCAGGTGTTCAAACTCGGTACACATATCACTGCACAGTGGTTTTTACCACTTCTACATATAATCCTACTACAAGCATCTTGTGCTTTTTAAGATTTATTTTTAGTTATTTCAGAACTGAAAGCCACAAAACATAGCAAAATCTTCCTCTGCAAATGATAAGTGATGCAAGTAAGTCTATGGGTAAAATGTATAAATACTGAACTACTTTTAAACTTGGGATTGTACATGGCTATTTATTAAAATGAGAAATCAAAGTTAATTTTCAAATGTAAGAATAAAATCTCCAAACAGGAAAAAGTCTTAGTTAGCTATACTTTCAATTTGGCTACTCTGGCCTTACATTTGCACTTCACTTTGGATTCTCAATTTAGTAACTAACTATGTTAGAGTTGAGTACAGACTAATGCTGGATAAATTATACATCTCACCTTTAAGCAGTGGAGGATCATCCATAGAGGCACTTGGGGGAGAGTCCCCCCATCCCCCTCCCTTATTGGTAACTGTTTGGAGAAGCTTATTTGAGAGCATCTAGTCACGTCAAAATGGAGCTGGTTTAAACACAGCCCTTTTTCAGCAGGCTTTGCACATGCCTAGTGTCCTTCGAGAAGGAATTTCAAGTATTCCATTGAGTTTCCATTCGGGCAGCAGAGCTAACTGTCCATGAGTGGAGGCATGATATTCACCTCTCAATTCAGGGGCCATCATTGGCTGATAGCACAAGGGGTGGGGTTACACAGGAGATAGAAGCAAGAAGCCATCTTGGAATTGGCACAGAGAGCGCACAGCAGCAGCCCCTTGCCACTGCCAAATGTAAATGTATAATAGTATATATTTCTCTCCCCCAATATCCCTAGTGACTGCCTGAGGGCTAATTAAGCAAGAAATTTACTTAAATATATCATACATATAAGTAAAACCAGGGAAGCCCAGGAGTATCAAGGAGAAGGGGACATTTCTGACACAGAGCACTGTGCTGCCTGTCCCTAATAGCTTTAATGATTTCTTCTGCACATACCTATCATCTTCTTCAAAGTGCGCAGTCACTCTACAGCTGAGACACTCATGCTGTGGCTAGTTGAAAAGTTGTGAAGCTTCTGTCATGGTGTAATATCCCAACACTCAGTATTCAGGACAGCAAGAAAAAAAAAACATGAAATAACATACAGCCGGGCCTTAGAATGACCAGTCTTAACGTAGACAAAGAAAAAGCGTAGTCAGTAACGAGCCAAGGTCAGGGTAACAAAGACAGCAAAATGAGACCTAGCCAGAGTCAGGTAAATGGTAATCAGTCAGATAGGCAAAAACACAGGAAAGGGTTAAAGATAAATGCAGAGTCAGAAACAAAGCCAAGGTCAATACCAAAATATAAACAATATCGAACAGTTCCATTATTAATGGAATGGGATAGGCATTTTTTATCTTGTTTAGACGATACATGTAGTCGATACATGGTCTTAAATCACCCTCTTTCTTAGACACAAAAAAGAAGCCTTCCACAGCTGGAGAAGAGGATCATCTAATAAACCCTTTCTATAGGAGACAAAGGATACACTCTCCCATTGGGAGTATAGTACCAGGTAGCATATCTGTTCTACAATCATACAGTCTATTGGGTGGGAACTTATCAGCTTATCTTTTGTCAAACACCGCTCTTAAGGACATGTCTAAAGAGGTATAACAGTAGATAAAGGAGAAGCTGTAGGCACATTAATAGAATTCAAAAGAGTAACTTTGGTGATAAAAGAGTCATGACATTTGGTATTCCATGATTCAATTTGACCTGGCTCCCAATTAATAGTAGGGTTGTGTAGAAGCAACCATGGGTACTCAAGTACAATCTGTGAAGGAGGAGAAGAAATGACCTGGAACTGAACCTTTTTGTTATGTAATAACCCTGTAGACCTGAGTATGGGTACCGTTTCATGAGTAATCACTGGGAAACATAACGGTCCACCATCTATGCCCTCAACGGCCAAGGTTTTTTGTTTTTTTCCATTAAGGATATGCTGTGTTTTTTAAGAAAGGTGGGTTTGATGAAGTTCTCAGCCACACATGAGTCAACCAAAGCAGTCATCCAAAGCTATATCAGCCGAATTGTCATAACGTAAGGAAATAGGAAGGGACAAAATATTTAGAGGCAAGTGAGAGAACTCTGATATCACACCCAAAGCGGATCTTAGGTGCAGGAGTTTTACGGAGCTATGGGACACTCTCTTTGCATGTAGCCTTTTTTACCGCAGTAAAGACAGAGTCCCTTTTTTCTCCTATACAGCTTCTCTACTTCAGAAAGCTTGGTAATCCCTTACTGTATTGGTTCTGCCTTTGGCATGATGAGAATCTCAGGATTGGCAACTTTAGGCATAACGGAAACAGTAAGGCGTCTGTTACTACTCTTGGTATACTGTCTATCTT